CTATCAGGGTACTTAAATGAATACCCATTTTTAATTTATATATTCTACTCCCATTGTTTTTTTAAGTATTACATTTAGACATTACCTTTTGAATCTTACATGTTATTGCTCTTTCTTTTAATTTGGTAAATTAACTTTAGGAGTCATTGCCTTCAATCTAGTATCAAAATACTTTAAATAAATACGTAAAGAAAATGAAATAGGGTCAGCTCATTCTACCAGGTTCCAAATAGGAGATTCCTGTTTCATAACTTGGGCAACAGTGGAAGATTCCCAGAACACAATTCAAAAATGAGTGACCACACAATACAAACTTCAGATAGTTCACTTACCCGCACAGTATCATATCCCATCCTAACAGTCAAGTCACCACTCCCATAATATAGGGTACAGCTTTGCCCTTCATTTTTGTATGTAGAAGATGCACTAGGGTTGAACCTTCTGTGGTTCCCTAGAATAAAACAATAGAACATATCTATCCATAAGTAGCAAGAGACAATGCTCATCTGGATTCCATTTGTTTTGTCCCATTGTGTTCAATTTACTGTTGCAGCCCAAATAAGAATGGTAAGAAATATTCCACAGTTAGCCAAAGGAAACCAAGGTGTGGGCATCTCTCACAATTAAATAGTTCCCCTTCTGGCTTTATGATGTTTCCTTACCATCAGAATGGCAATATAATCTGATAGAGAGAGAGAGGTTCCTATCAGTCATGAGACTGCCCTTGGAATGGCCTCCTGAGAGTTGCATTCAAAAAGTTAGCAGGGTCCTGAATAAACACCAGATTTAAATTTTATTTCACTCATATCCATTCAGGACAATTAACGTGACACTTCCCACTCGCTTAACGATTTCTCCTTTCTGTCAAGTTCAGTAGCAACCTGTAGAGGGGGTCAGAGAGCCATACCCAAGGATGATGAGGGCCTTCAGGTTATACTCTGTTAGCAATAAAGAAATGGGATGAAATATCTGAGAGCTGTAATGCAGTACAAGCCTATAACTGAGTTTAATAGGAAGGTTTCTCAAATATATGTTCATGTGTGCATAGGTATATTACAGCATTTCCTGACTATTTGCCCAATGTTTGTATTCATTTAACTTAAACATTTCCATTGCAGAAATCAAGTAGCATAAGGATGGGACACCGGAAAGTCTATGTTTTCTGAAGACTGCAGGTGCACGTCAGAATCAGACTACTAGAAAATAAAGTTGTATAATTGATCTGAAAAATAGTGTCCGGTCAGAGCTGTTTCTTCATTTTTATTCCTTTTTAGTCTGCTCTCCATTAAAACTAATCTTAAGGTGGGCTAAAACTGCTCTTGTCTATGCCCATTTAGTGTAATGGTATGTGGGAATGACCTTGGGAGACAGGAGGGAAAGCCACAGACTGGACAAGTGGCATGTCAAAGATTTCTCAGCTCACGGAAGGAGAGGAGGCATGGGAAGCGTTTCAGAAGGGACCCTACCTACTTTTCCAGAAAGTAAAAGGAAAGGAGGGGAGAAATACTTTCAGTCTTGCAAGATTCCGTTAATGTAACCTTACAATAAAGATCGAGTAAGTACTCACAGTTGTGCTTCTTGTCTGGACTACCTTGAAGGGT